TATTAAAATATGGTGATGCTATATATAGAACTTGGGAAAATCCAGTGCTATTTCAGACCTATGTATAATTTTTCAATAACTACAGAAGAGCCACTCTCCGTTTGGGTTTTGGCTTTTCCCTGCAGATCGTCGCATTGTTTTTCATAATCATCGTGAATTAGATTACGTATTGAGAATGGAAATTACAATCAGTTTAATCTAGTACAATTCGTCTCTAGATAACCTGGGAAAAACCCAACGTTAATTATAGAACATGTTCCTATGTATATGTATTACTACTGTAATAAAAAAACACCACTATTCGTCTGGCTTCTTTGCGTGAACATGGCAGGACTTGAACAAAACAAGGTAATAATCGTCAGAAAGAGAGATAAGGTTATGAACGTAGAGGGTAGTACTTGTGATCATGTATCTTCCTGGCGCAAAACATGGGAGAAAAAAACAAAAGAACCATTTCCAGAAGAGTGCGCTAACCTTGATTGTGATAACGAAGCCACCGATGGAGCCCACGTTTACATTAAACGCTTTTACAACTACGGTAACCCGACTTATTACTTTATCATACCACTATGTCGTGAGTGTAATTTACATGAGCAAGGCTGGTTCTATACTGATGAAGGGACGAAAGCTCTTGTAAGACGCAAAAGGGAGTGCGTGCCGTAATAAGGAAAGGAGAGAGCGAGGGAGAGAAAAAAAAGAAGAAACACATCTCTTTCCAATGGTAGCCTAGACTAATTGTCGTCAGATCAAGCTTTTGAATATTTTATTTTCTATTAATTTCAAATTCAATAGGTGACATTCTTTGTTTATGTGGTGATAATTCTTTAATATATTTCGTTTACATTTAAGTTACTGTGGAGCTTATTTGACTTATTCTGTATGCTTTTTTTTAATATGAAAAAATGACGAGATCTATTTAAAAAAAAAGGGATTTACAAGAAGATGGTTTGGTTCTCACGTTATTCCAGTTGTACTGAATTGTATAAAAAAACTTATGGTACAGCCTCGTTTTGAAACACTTCTTTTCGATTTTACCAGCATACTACCGTATCGATTTCAAGAAGTACACTTCAATACGTGACATTCTTGAATATATTCCGTTTACATTGAAGTTGATTTTCACCTTTGGATCCAAATTACTCGTAAAGCCTGTTTCCCTGTGGAGGTCATTTGACGCTATTCCGTATTTTTTTTATATGAACAAAAAGTGAAATTACATCTGAAAAAAGGCGATTTACAGGTTAATTGTTTGATACTAACGTTATTCCAATTGCACTGAATATCTTCTAGATTGTGAAAACTATTAAACAGCCAACGTATAGTCCTACGTTTTGAAGATCGCAGGCAAAATTTATGTCGCCATGTATCCCAATTACAGTACTGTAATAAAATGATGATTAAAGGTGTTAATTACCTGAAAGTGCTGACAGTCTATATACTATAATTTCCTAGCTAAAGCTCAAATATAAAGGAACCGTGATGTTATGAAATTGTATCAACCATAGTTCATCAACGAAAGTTTCTTATATATAAATCATGATATAATGTCTTGCGGTAATGCATATGTACCTGTATATATGCATATAACACACGTATGTATGTGTGTATGTATGTGTGTGTGCGTATGTGTGTGTATGTATATGTGTATATATGTATGTATGTATGTACAGAGAAGATTATCATTTATGCTTCAGTGTTTGAACTTCGACGATACTCAGACCAAGTTAAATGCAAGAGAATAATTTAAATTACATATGAGTAAAAGGAAGGCGGGGTATTCAGAGGAGGAATGCATACCCACTTTCGGTAATTGTATCGTTGATAACGAAGGACGAGTTAGTAAGAAGTGGAAGGTGAACTGGCCTAAATAAATTTGGGTGGAGCTAAATGAGTTGTGTATAAGGGAAGACATGATACTTAATTTAAATGATGATGTTTGTAGCCTGAAAGTAACAAGGGATAATATGGTTGTGGAGTTAAGATCTCCAAAACAAGTAGCAATTTACATAAAACAAGTAGATATTGATAACAAAGTTAAAAGACTCGTAATATTTTAAAGTCTCAAGGAAGGATATTCTGTACGTATGGTATTGGTCATAACATAAAATTTATTTAAAAAACACTAATTTGAAAGATGAATTGGTACAGTTGATTCTTAACGCTAGGATGCAGATAATTGAATGTGGATCACTTCTTAACTTGTATTACCCAATGCTCATGAGAGAGCCTTTGTAACAACCCATTTGACACAATCTCCCACCTTTTGATGGTTTCTTAAATGATGAAACTATTAAAATTCAATTACAGTACTATAAACCATTAAGTGAATCAATAACATTGGATACACCATACGTGTAAAGTAATTGTCATCTTAATAGCTTCTTTTTGGAGGGTCCATAAAAGTGTTATTGCAGGACTAAGGCTTCTTGGAAGCAAGGTAGTGGCTCGGTATTTTAGCATAATTTCAGCCATTGGGTTGAATTTTAGATAGCGTAAGAGATGTAAACAATATCTTGATTTTGCATAATAATATTTATCACTACTATGCGTGTTTCCTCAAATATTGTATGGTTATTAAATTGAATTTAACCGCTATTGTGATTAATATGTTGTATTACAAACCGTGGATCGAGTTTCAATAAAAGTTAATGATATATATATATATATATATATATATATATATATATATATACAATTGCCGTTGTAACAACTTCAGGGAGGGCCTTTCTTCATGTTGGGTTTTTCCCAGTTTGAATCATCCTCTCATAATATGTTTATCTTCTATTGTTAAGGTTATATCATTCATATGGAACTAACAATCATAATTCAATTGTTGACGTGGGTTTTCCATGCTATAATTATTGATTTATGTGACGTAGAATGGTCAATGTATAAGTACGGTAATTGCACAGAGTAGAAACGTACACGTTCATACTATAGACATAAAAAAAAATTATACTTCGAATATTTCGAGCACTTCTGTGCTCTTCCTCAGCGACAACATGTATGATACGCGTGTTATCGCTGAGGAAGAGCCCAGTGCTAGAATGCTCGAAATATTCGAATTAAAATATTTCTATGTCTTTGTGCATAATTCGTTCTTAATTTATATTATCCAGAGGAACTAGAAGGTGCACTTGCATGCGTTATGGATTGTCGTAGTTGTGTGGGACCGGAAATGGTGCGCAGTCGGGTGGTTGTTACGATGCCCGGGTGACCTCAGTTTACAGCAACATCAAAATATTCATGCCTACGATGCGTTATTTCTTACGATCATTTAATCTACTGTATTGTATTTGCATAATTTTGTACTTTTCCAGCACATTAATACAGTACTGTATAGTGAAGTACATATAAAGTTTGGAATGATTGAATAGGCATTCTAGTCGGGTAGAATGTAGTTATTTATTGTATGGATTTATTTTCCAAATAAAAATAATATCTGTATAATCATTAACTAGTTGTATACAGTTTAACCACATGGCTATACGCATTTATACAAGTTGCAGGGTATGTGTGTACATGTTCTTCTGACGTCTGTATGTCACAATAATATGTAAACATAAAACAAAGGCAGGCAGGACGGATGAAATTGAAGTAGCATCATTTTGAGCATTGAATTAATTATCAATGTTTTACCCTAGTGGAAGTAAATTAACTGCTAATTAGGTATTTATAAGCCATACAATAACACTTTTTAACATCTATGTGGAATACATTTACCAGTAATCACTGGTTCTTCAAAAACCACCTGAACAATAATGTTCCTGGGTGCTGGGTATATTAAAATTATTCTATTATATATCAATTTTTCTTAATTATCTGACTGTAAATGCCAAATAATATAAAACCAAAGGTATTGATTAGCAGTCAAATTATAGCAATCAATGAATTCATGGCCACGTAGTGGAATGATGGGAGAGGATGATGGAGCTATGTGTGGCACATTTTTAGGAACCTGTACAGTAGTTCAGTGGTCAGGGCCACCAAGAGGGGAAACTGTAACAGGGGCAAGGGTTAGTGTGGGCCATAGTTACTAGCAAACAATTTTTGAGGGGGCCCTGTCAATCTTAAGGGGCCCATTATTAGGGGGACTCATGCCATTATTGAGGGCCCATCATCAGAATTAATATTTTTTGAAAATAATTATGGAAAAAATTCTGTAGGTGTAATTTTGCCCTACCTGAAATGTACTGAATACTCAGTAATTATTGTCGTGATGGATAGACAATAACTGAATTTGCGCCAGGAGAAGCATGTATAGATGTAATTTTGCCCTACCTGGGTGGAAATGTACTGAATACTCAGTAAAATAAAATCAACTTGCGAATAAATCGCAAGTTGTTCTCGGGTGGCAAGTTGTCCACGATCTCAAGATTCTACCTGCAATTTCTATAGGCCCCTGGTAAGTTTCGTCCCCGAGGATCTTCCCCCACCCACCCTCTCGGTGGCACTTGTTGTGGTTATGGTAATACACAAAAGTAGAGAATAACCCATACTATTTTAGTATTCTATTCATGTATTATTTTAATTATTAATCTATCATAAGAACAATAACATCGAACGTGATTTCACGTGCAGGTGGGCACGAATCGTCTTTCAGAATACAAACCCCACTCTTCGTCGCTCAACCTCTCCTGTTCCTGTTGGTTTCGAGGTTGGCGAAGCCCCGTCGCGACTCCATATAGTTGACTCAGCCAGGGGATATGATCGCCCTTGGCTGATTTAAGTCACTTTTTGATTGAAGGAAATAGTTTTTTTTAGTATTAGGCTACTCGATGAGAAGGTCACATGAACATCATAATTTACATTAAAACATTGTCATTGTCACTTTTTGCAGATTTGTAGCGTGTTTTAGGTGTCTCGCACTTTTGGTACAATACTGTAGCTATACTATGTAGTGCCTTGCATGAATTGCAGTGGTCACGCGGTCAGATGGCTTGCCTGAATCCCATGCCTCGCAATTTGTCAATACCCGGTTGGTTTTTAGTGTTAATCCTTTAAGAACCAAATTCACTATTGATCTTCACACGAACTGCGCATGTTCGGTTGTCAAAACCCCAGGTTGCATTTGATGGCGCAAAAGAAAATGGTTTATACCGCTTTCTACGGTTTACTGTAGGACCCATGAACAGGCTAAGAGCTGGTGCATGATGTATAGCAGCTATCCAATATTTAGCAACGTTTGATAGTTTGTCTGGTGAATCGTCATCAAATATAAGAGGAATATTACCTTCCACATCCCACAAAGAGTGGCAAAAGTGGCATGAAGATCCATTTTTGTCCGGATACGGTTTGCTCATAAAGGAAGCCATTAAGCCGTGTTGCATGGCGATCTCTTTGACTGCGCCTTTGTACGTGAAGGCTGTGTCTGCTGCTTTGATTCCAAACGATGGCTTGTACGAAATTTCATGCTGACCAGGTCCAGCTTCAGTTTCCATGCATTCGATATCAATTCCTACTTTAGGCAAATCTTCTCCAAGCTGATGAATGAAGCCAGCGCCTTCGTACAATCGAATAGTTGATCGAATATTTGAATCATTTATAAGAGGTTTCATTGTATCTTTGTTGACGACGTAAAACTCATGCTCGTGAGCTGAGAGCAGACTATAACCCATCTTCTTAAGTTTTGTCAGTTGCTGCCTAGCAAGAAATCGTGGAGCAAATGAAACTTCATTACCGTCATATGACGGCTCAATTAGGATTCGTGCTGTGTCGTTCCACCAAGGAAGAACTTCGAACGTATTCAACACAGGAAACATGACTGCGTCACTGTAGTGTATTTCCTCAGTACAACCAGTACCTGTTAGCATATTTCCCAAAGAATTGGAACCTAAATAACTAACGTGAAAGTTCATGCCGTTTTCTGCCTTTGATTTGAAATGTCGGGCCGGAATCAACTTCAACCGAGAAATTCCAAACATGTCCACCACTTCAAATCTTACAAACTTAATATTTGCATCTCTAATGCGGCTTAAAAGCTTCTCTATTATCTAAAAAAAGAAAGAAAACAAAAACTAAAATGAAAATTCAACAGACGTTTAATTGTAAAAGAGAACATTGGCCTTCTATCATAATGAGGAGTGCTGTTGAAATCACTAAAACAAATTTAAAATCATTAAAAAATATATAGTAAAAAATGCATAAAAAAAAAACAATTATGAAATAAAAAATTAAACATAAAAACCAACTTAACGTATGTGAGACTGGTTCTATGACTGCCATGTGGTAATAGCGAGAGTTCTTACAATTTGAATGTTAAGAACGCGGCCCTGTGGGGGTCAGTTTTAGTTTGTCTACCTTGCGTAATGTTGTAAGTGGAGGGCGAAATTTTGTCATGCATTTCAAGGTAATTGTTTAACATAGGTGTCTAGTTTAAAACTCTTTAAAAAACACAAATGTGTAACATAACAGTTTAATTGCCTGTTTATTAATATTCGAAATAAATAAATAAATGGCCGGACAGAAAAACACTAATAGAAAAAAAAATATCACAACAAAAACGGTGTTTTTTATTTCTCGCAAATTAATTTTTGTAACACAATGTCATGTTTTATACAAATCAAACGCGCAGACAACGTGGCGGAAAATGCTAGCACATTATCTTACCTTTAGATTCATAATACCACTTCTGCTATTTACCATTCCGAGTTTGTATATAAAACAAAAAACCAACAGTCGTTGTTTTGCTGTTACAGTTTCCGTGCAGTCAAAATATACCGAGGTTGTTAAAATTGACAAACATTTTGCTAAAAATTGCATAAACCTATAGTTATAGCTGTATACATGGCAATAATTAATAATGTGACGAAAACGTGCCATATATACCGTACAAAAAAAATATAAATAATAATACAATTCAAATTAATATTTTTCAGATAATGCAATTATTTAAAGGGTAGCAAAATATAACAGGACAGTCGTTGATTTCCCACGACATCTGAACAAATTACTCAATAGTAGGACAATGCCGATTAATGCATGTCTTTTGTCTTCTATCATAAGACTAATAAATAATAAAAATCACAATGGTCGAATAGTTATAGAGTGCATATTGTAAAGTCCCCTGTGCGTTTGGCGAGTTGATTGGACGAGCGGTTAAGTCAGGGGCACCGCTTCAGCTCTAATATCGGCGCTGGTTCGAACGGCTCACTCGCCAATGGTTCCGCTGGTGGAAAAAGTCTTCTCGGATAAGGACTGTAAACCATAGGCCCCAGTCTACGCATTTGGCTCGTGTGCACTTTAAAGAACCCAGTACATCATTCGAGAAGAGTAGGGGGTTACCCCGGTGTACTGGTCCATTAAGTCCCCTGTTGTTAATTGGATATGCCACGTAGGACAGTGATTACGTTCACTTATTGGCATATCATTGGCGCTCGTGCCTTAAGAAATGAAATGAAATGAAATTAAATGAAACATTATTACCTCCAGTCATTAGATCAAGCATATAATGGAACACATATTTCATTCATTCATTCTTTATTGCATGTGCGCACGCAACCAATCAGCACCATGCAAAGGGTGGACAGGAAATAGCAAAGCTAATCAAGCTTGGGCCTTCTTATCTACTAACAGCCATAAAATCAAATTCATAACGCACTTATGATCAAAGACACACACTAAATGCACAATGAGGGATTGAACTTCCTACATCAAGTTCAAAACCGCTTCTAAATTCAATAAGATTTAATTCAATTTCTTTTATAGCTTCGAAAGCCATCATAGGCTAATATCCGCTAAAAACATGCCCAAGTTCATAAAATTATTGGCCAATGATTGCTTTCGAAGCTATACAAAAATTGAATTGATTCTTATTAAATTTATTATAGAAGCAGTTTTGAACTTAATGTAGGAAGTTCAATTTCTCGTTGTGCATTTAGTGTGTGTCTCTGATCTCTCTCCCCCTCTCCCTCTCTCTTTCCCCCTCTCCCTCTCCCTCTCTCTCTCACTCTCTCTCCCTCTCTCTCTCTCTCTCTCTCGGTCTCTGGCCTGCCTACTGTACTAATGCTATCTGGCAGTGGTTCGTTCGTCAACGATATACTACGGGTAGTAGTATATCGTATATATATAATTTTTTTTTTGTGTGAAGAGCCAAGCATAGGGAAACATATTGGCTAATGATAAGATGAACTCATCGCACAAGTTGGCACAAGATTCAACCAACTCGCACTCGAATACGGATACGGTGCGAGTGAGAGTGATCTCAAGAAAGCTAGTATAGGTTTGATTCACCGATTGCAGACTATGGTTTTCACAGAGTAAGTTTTCACTATTATTACTGCATACGTAACCCACAACGATCAAGGTGAAATTGTAAGGAGGGATGCATCTCACGACTCTATCTAGGCCCAGTCTAGGCAAGGCCTACCATTGGCGTAGTTGGAAGATGGACCTACACTCCTATCCCATATCATCAATCATGATGCAAGGAAGATCAATGCAACACTTATACACAAGGCCTAGTTTGCATGACAAGTTCGCCTTCTTTTTTCTGAAGAAGTACCTAGCAGAGCAACCTGTTTAAGGCCCAAATAGTCTATTTTTTCCTTTATTGCTAAACGTCAATACTGTAATATAATAATTATTAATATATAACTACCCTACTACCAAACTTTACTATTACTAGGGCTTAGACCCAGGCCTATTGTCCACAGCTCTCTAATACTTTAAATATTATAATTATAATTTTAAAATTATAATGTTATACTTGACTAGCAGCAAACTTGGCAATGTGAGATGCCCCCTTTCTTTATTATTCAGTTGCTTAAATTATTGGTTGTAATTTTTTTTCTTACCATTTTAATTTTTCTAATTTGTACTTTTATATGATGTTACAACATTTTAACTGTCTAGTCTTTTATTATAGGCCCCTATATATCCTTTTTTTAATGAATATTATGTAACACAAGTAACATGCAATTTGGTCTTTGGCCACCTTACAATACAATACAATACAATATATTTATTCGCCACTAAAACAGTTGAATTGCACATGCATAAGAAATTGAAAAATAGCCTTAAAAGTTAAAAACATCAAAACGGGGACGGTAAACAAAATTTCACAAAAGAGCAAAACAGAGAATATTATCAAACTTATTATCAAAGTAATAACAATAATTATAACAATATTATTATTATTATTATTATTATTATTATTATTATTATTATTATTATTATTATTATTATATTTATACAATTTATTGAGAAAATTAGGGGACTAAAAAAAAGAAGGGAACCGTTTCGGCCATTGTTGGAACAGTTCACCCGACTATGCAGAGACAACCTACCATTTTCTGAAAAGAACAGCATTAATAATACAATTTTTGACCGTTCTTTCTGAACTTTAGGGAGATGGAATTGTTGTGTGGACCTGAGGTTGTATTTATGGGTTGGGGCAGTTGGTAAAATTTGGTATATTATTGTTTGAGATGTGATGTTTGAATAAATAAAGTAATATTTTTAAATATCAACCAACCTACAAATAAGTAGCAACCCAGGATTTTCTGATAAAAAAATTCTTTAAAACTGCTGATGTTGTTATGTCATGACATAATAAATGGATGTACAGTACAGCACAATTAAATACTTGAATCTGGAGGGTTTTTTTTAGGTCTATACAATGATATCACAGAGTAGGAATTTGGCCTTTTGGGATGCGGATGGAACGCTGACTGACAGACATTGCTAATAGCAGAATGCAACCATCTCATCTCTACCTTCAGCACAGCTAATTCCAGATGAATGCCTAACCAAAATACATGAGTAAATGTACAAAGTAAAAAGCCAGATGTTGTCTATACATGTCAAAATAAGTTTAGAACATAGGAAAGACACAGTTGGGTAATGGAAGGTTGTGTGAAGAGAACATTGTACTGAAAATGTTCCACTGAGTACTTCTTCAAAGCAAAAAGAAAGAAAGTCTCCCATAACTTAGTGTATACAGAAAACCAAAACCTTGAAAAAACTTATTCTTTTAAGTCAAAAAAATGTAAATTACACTCTTGCCAAATAATAGTAATAGTTTAAAAAGTACCACTTCGGAAAAATAGATATTGCATTATTTATTTAAAAAAATAGATAAAGTTTGTGATTGTACTAATGGTCACACATCTGCTTTTCTGACTCTTCTGTACTATTATATTTATTACTGTATTTGTTAGCTAATATTTACAAACACAATTAAGGGTTGCCTTAATTTATTAGCTGTGAATTCACACTTTATTATATCATCTATAAGCTAGTTTTATTATTTATAATTGGAGAAAAAAGATTAAAAAAAATAAGGAAAAATAACTTAAAAATAACTTAACAGATTAAATATTAGTGACTATTTTATAATTTACTTGCTTCAATTTTTTCAGATGTGCAATTTTGTGCGAGTGTAATTGCACAAGGAGAGAGCAATATATTGTACAGTAGTGAAGAAAGTGGACTTTCCAGCTTAGATTTATACATTTCAAATATAGATACAAGTACCAACAATATACGTTATATGTTTAATAAAAAAGACACATAAATAAATAATATTCATACTGCACAGATTCAGAGGAAGAAAAGATAAATTGAAGTGTTGCAATACACGAACTTTTATTAATAATTATTATTAGATTACTGTTGCTGTCGTGAGTACTACATTTTGACAAGTTTACTATCACTATACACTATTTGTATATTGTTTTTGACTACCATTAACAGACATATAGACAGGTAAGTAAAGGAAAGTCTTTTCGAATAATAATACTGTGCCTTGTATAGTGAGCTTATTTTTGTAGAAGCCGTCAGAGGGAGGGAAGAATTATTAGCAAAAAGATTTTGCCAAAAGCAAAGTAAAGGACAAAATGAAGATAAAATTTTCATTGATATGAATTGGAACAAGTGTTGTAATGAGATTGATAAATGCATTAAATTTATCTAATTTGTGGATATTTCAGGGGAGTGAAAGCCATAATAAAAATATGTAACACTTTTATGTTTTTTTTTTTTCTAAAATTTCTATTTTTCGTCGGGGAGGGTTAACTATTCGAAATCGCTATTTAAACAAGTTACAGTATAATATTCTTGCCTAAAAGTCTGTGATCCCAGGGCCTACTAACTCTAGGCCTACTATTAGGCCCTCTATGCAAACGACCTCGTTTGTACTCATAGTAGGCCCTACTACAGTGTTTTCTAGGCCAATTGGTAGCAGTGAGTATTATAGTTGTATGATCAGCGGTGTCTATGGTAGCCTACTAAATGTTGTTCCCAATACTGTAATCTGTTACACCCATAAAAATCAGGCTTACTCGGCGCGTTGTATGTGCATGGATTGTTTTGTTGGCGTGTATCGCAGACGCATTGCTCCGACGAGTGTGCGAGATACCTAGCGACTGTCAAACAAAAGTGCGATTATGTCATCTTATATTCATTAGCCCGGTTCAATTCCCATCGCTGCCTCTCCTCAGCCCTCTAGCTGAAACACAAGTTACAATAGCGCACCGTCTTTCGGATGAGACATTTAAGCCGTTGGCCCTGTGTGCATCTATGGCCCATGTGCACGTTAAAGAACGCAGTACACTCTTCGAAAGAGTAGGGGATTGTCTCTCGGTGTACTGTCCAATCACCACCAGAAGGACCCCACTGGAAATAAGTCTTCTTCCAGACTTTCAAGGGCTATCTTTGGTGTTTACACCGAATAAAATCCAATCCATAACTGTACACGGAGTTTCCCCTTCCTTAACCGCTTAATTATCCAACACACCATATAGTCCATGTCTACTGTATGTTATTTTCTTTAAAAA